GCGTTGAGCAGGCACAAATGGAGGATGGTCTCGCCCACGGCTCCACGCTCCTGCAATGCATTGCATGCGATGTACAAAGGGAATAAATGAAGAGCGCTTCTTGACCCTAGCAATCGGACAACTCCACTCACATTCAGATCCCAGCATACGAATCGGTAGGCACTCGGGTTGGAGATGTACTCGGCTTCCGATACCTCGGGACAGTAGTCGTGGATGTTGAAGTCGTCGTCGGGGTTCTCCAGGGCGCGGATTTCGGGCAACTGGCGCGTCCTTGGGCGGTCTCGATTTCGCAGCAGCACCAGTTTCGAAATGGGGAAGTACCGTCCTGCACCCTTGTTGTAGAGAAAGGGTTCGACCTTGGTCTTGATGGCGTGGTCGATTTCGGCAAACTGTTTTGTCTGGCAGGCGCGCTTCATCATGTCCACGAGAAGGCCTCCGCCCTTGAGATTTACAAATTTGTATAGGGCTTGCGTGGAGACTCCCGCTTGCTTCTTGACGCCGCTGGTCACGTTGCTCTCTGTATTCCCCATGACCACAGAATACCTCTAACCTTCTGCCTCGCTCTGAGTTGGGTCTTTTTTTTTTAATAGTTTTTGTTTTTATAGCGCGACATTGCCGTATTGAATTTAATCTATCTGTTCAGGGAATTCACTCTGTTATGGCAATTTGGTGTGGTCCTTGTCCGTTTTGGCTATCGACAAAACATTCAATCGAACTCCTCGTTTCCAATGCAACAGCTGAACTTGAGCTCTATTTTTCTGTTTACCTCGCGTTGCCAGGACATCTCGTACCTGTTGCACTCGTCCGCTCAACAAGTTCAGGTTTGTAGCATTGTTTTGCGTGTTCCGTTCGTATTTACTATTGGTTACGGAAACTTGTAGAATGCGGGTTCATGAATTCATTTATTTAATTCGTCCGGAAGATATTTATTTAATTATTCCAACTGTCTGTCGCCGGCTGCGGTCCCATTCCTGACTTCATTAAAAATATCCTCGATTTTGCTTTTTGGCTCAGGACTACTAATTATTTAATGTGCAATTTACTAAATTTAAACATACCAGGGCTGGAAAATACGCAACAGTAAATATATTATCGTATGTATTACTCGTATAAAAGTACACTTCATGTTGTAGTACATGTGCAGGTTACAGGTAAAATACATGTAAGAGACAAGTTTTCTGCTTAGTGGCGCCCACTTTAGTCAAAAAAAGGAACCAACATCAGCGTTTTGGATCATATTAATAGATAATCGCAAAAATAATATATCAAGCTCCGATGCAGACATAACCGCCACACTGAAAGTCGAACAAACTGACGGTATTTATTTTGAAAGCTTGCAAGTTGACCGGAAACTACAAATTTATAAAAGTCACTACGTTCTCATCAACATGTATTAAACCTGTATAAGACTTAACAATAGACACATCATTATTCTGCAACATTCAAATCGAAAATTAGTACGAAAATTCTCAAATTGCAACATTGGTTTGTTCCCCAACATTTCCTACAATAAACGCATGTTGCAAAGAGAACGCCACTTTAGTTGTAACTTGAAATCAGTGGCGCCACTAGGTTTTTTGACAATTTTAGGAACTTTGACGGTTATTTAAGGAACTTTGGCGCTAGAGAAGTGATGTAAGTGTAGATGATAGATGTAGGAAACAATTTTAAAATTCAAGAAAAACCATAATTTTACATACATTTATTCATACATCGGAATGAACCTATTCCAGGCTGAGGTATCACTCAGTTCATTGCAGCGGCAACTCTTTGGAATTTTGAGGGTTGGCTCTTGATTTGGCTTGATTTAGTCTCGAACAGACTCGAACAGTAAACACGGTATATTGTATTTGTGCACAAAGTATGTAACACACAAAAGGAAACGTTTCCGACCCCATAAAGTATATTATATTCTTGATCAGCATCAATAGCCTAGTCGATTGAGCCATGTCGATTGAGCCACCAAATTTTGCATCCAGACTTCTGTATGCTCACACTGTTGTGTGTGTGTGAAATACACAAGTGTATTTCAAAATGAGCCCCGCCCCCCGCAAAAGGGCGAAAACCTCCCAAATCTACAATTTTGAAGATAAAAGAAAACTAAAAACGACATTCCGTATGGAATGACCATATCTATCAGGTCACCAAATTGGGATCCGATTTGATCATTATTATAGCCACAATGAAGAAATTAATTTGCATTGGCTAAACCCACCCCGTCCCGCAGCTTATATTTGTTTTTTTTTTCACATTCTCTCATGCCCACTCTGCTTCTTCTGCGTGCGGCCACTGCATCTGCAGTGTGTGGGTCTAGGGAAGGGGAGCGAGCTAAAGGAGCGAGTTGGTGTGAGAAGTGCTGTAGATGTAGATGACAGATGAGGAAAAAATTGTAAATTTGACAAATCACCGCTAAGGTGCAGATGTAGTACTGAGTGCCGGGTATAAAAGTTGTGACGCGTAAGAAGCGTCTCACACGTCCCTTCTCGTTAACTTTCAATATATCTTTGGTTGTCTTATTTCGATAGAGGGCAAGTGCAATATGTAGCTGTGCTAGCTTAGGTAGCATTGCGGTAGTGGGTAAGTTGTTTCTGTAGGTAGAAGTACGAACGAGATAAAGCTAAGACCTGGAGTTAACAAATTGTATGGCTAGTTTTAACAGGATATTCCCACGAAACGTAACGGTAAATTGATAAAGAAGTGGATTTAAGACCAAATTTTGCCGTAAATATGAGTCTCGTGGACAATTTAAATATTTTTACTCATTACATAATTGCAGCAAAAACGCCAGAAGCTAACACTAGTTAAACTTTTTGAAGTCCGTTTTAGTTTAATGTCCTAAAGTACTTTACCACGCAATTTTTTAAAAAATTGTACGCATACATTTCTTGTAAAAATATTAAATACATTTTAAAAGACTTTGCTATTGATTTGGAAGTCTAACTTGTCTTTAAGTCTTTAAAAATAAAAAATATACATATATATTTTCCATACTTACTCGTAGCTAGATTTTTATAATGAGTTTTCATATGAAAAATTCCTGTGTCTTGAGGATTTTAGTTTGAAATTAAAAAATGATCTCCGCACGATCTCGTACAATCTCGTCCGACTTAGACGTTGATATTTAGTCAAACAGTATAACAGTAAATACTTATGTATAATTTATTTCATTAATCCAGACATACAATCCATTCTAATTTCTGAAATGTTCTTATTAAATAAATAATAATTCAATTAATGTTAACGTTTTTAACTCATTTTTTTATTAATTTCAGTTTGACCTTCAGTCATCTGTTAACACAAATTTGACCCAGATATCAAATTTCACATGAAAAAAAACCGAATTATAAAACCAGGAATAAATCGAGGACTCCCAGTTTAATTTTTACTTCAACTGGAACGGCAACGCTGTTTAATACATATATGTAATTTCAGACCCGCCAATTCTTTAAAATGCCTGGTTATAATATCTAATATATAGTAAATACAGCTAAAAAACATGTAAGTCTAAGTAAAGTATATAATAAATAATATTATATAGTAAATTAAGAAAAGCAAACTACCGGTTGACGAGGAACAAGACATTTACAACATTTAAATGACGTTACATTTCAGGCTCACTTACGTTGTTACACAATATGTAGTTAAAATATAGCAAATGTATAGTTACCGTGTGGTGTGTTTTGTTAATTTCTGAGCAATTACAATGTATAAACCGGGGTCTAGTCCCAATTATGTTGTAAGGATAGATAGGCTGCCCCCCAAACCACTCCAAGCTTATTATAATATTTCCTTATGTTCCCTTAACCTTTCAGGAAAACAATAGAATTTCTTTTTCTCTTTTGTTTTGAGCTCAATTTTTCATATTATTCAATGTTATCAGTTAACATGGCTCTGTTAATGGTTTACACACATTTAAATTAGAGGTGGACAACTATCGATAAAGGGCACCATCGAAAGTGGGCGATAGTCAATTTTAAATCATCGATAATGATCGATAGTATCGTCGATAGTCGCATAGAAATATTGTTTTTTAAAGGCGGGTATTGCGGAAAATTTTCTGGCCAAACTTCATATATAAAGAACTGAACAAAAAACACGAGTTTTCAGCAACGTTTACAAAATCCACACAATCTCTTATCGATATATCGGTTCGAAATACTCATATTGAGCCGCAAAAATGAGGAGAAAGAGGAGAGAGAGGAGAGAGTCTCTTGCTCTCTTTGCTGACCTAATCCTCTCTTTGGCATGTGATTCGCAAGGTATGGCAATAAGGTAACAAAGGACGAAAAAAGGGGTGGTTTTTGCATACCTGGAAGAAATTGTTTGTGGCCTATTTACCTGTTGTCGACACCTTATGTTTTGATACAAATTTCGCACAATGAAAGCTCTTTTGCTTCGTTAAGGCAATTTGAAAGCTTTTTTCCTTTGCAAAAGGGAACTTGAACAGCTAATGAGACAACTAATACAAACTAAATATCAAACAAATAAAATATATTAATACACCTTATTTTTTGGTATAAGTAAGGGAGTTTTGAAAGCTCTCTTCCTCTGCGAAGGGAGTATGAAAAACTAATGAGAATCACTAAACATAAAATAAAATTAAAAAAACTATAGACAATATAAGGGTTTTTAGTAATTATTTATATATTTAATTATATAAGTTAATTTTTATTTAATTATTTAATTAATTCCACAATATTTGCACATTAATTTGTTTAATTTAAGACAAAATTAAGGAAAGAAAACAATTTGAAAATTGATCAAGGGTATTTCTGTTTGTAAGGTTGCACGTTCACAATAAGGCAATATTCCCCATTCACGATATGACAACAAAACCAAGCCAGTATGTTACTACCGCCACAAATTTCGTCGTGTTATCGTATGAAATCCATCAAAATATTTTTTGGTACAAAATTCAGTTAAAAATAAATCAATTTAAAGACAACGGTCGCAGCAAATAAAATAAATAATATAATTTGATAATTTGAAATAATTACATTTTGATACGTCGAGCAGTGTCATTCGTCGTCACAAGGAAAATTAGAAGAAAAAAAGTCTACAACTGCAGTCGGACTTTAGACAAAAAACTTTTGTCGTTCGGAGCGAGCCAGATTAGCGGAAAAATCGCGGCACAGCCAACAGTAGTGGTTGCCAGCGTTACGCACGCGTACAATACCTTTACAAGACCGAAAAACACACCTATGCAAAGCGAAGAGTGAAGAAGTGCCTGTGCGTTGAGTGAAAGTGCAAGAAAAGAGCCTCAGCTAACGTTTTTAAGCCCATTTCGTATTGTTTGCGCAACACCTACAACAGCAAGAACAACAACAACAGCGTCTACCTGTAGCAGCCGTATCATCCACAACCCTACACCAAAAATCCATCTGTTGAGCGTTGGTACGGCTCTCGCGTGTGTGAGTGTGGTGTCTCTGTGTATGTGTGTGTGTCTACATTAGTGCAAAAATTGGTTTAATTGTTGTTAAATAAATGAATGCGATATTAACGGGTCTGCTGCTGACACAGCCACTGCTGCTCTAATTGGGATACCTACATATTTAAACAGGTGCGTTAGCTTAAGCTAAGCTCTCTAATCTTTTCAGTGTTTGCAAAATTCGATTGTATTTAAAAACTGTAGAGCTCTCAATGCATGCCAAGTAGCAAATGAGAATAACAGAGGAATGAAATAATTTAAAAAAATAGCAGCATAGTGAAGATAGGTCATGTTCCCTTTTTGATCAGGAATATATTTACATATCCAAATACCATCTTAATCACCCTCTCCCGCCACCTTGGCACGTTTTGGGCACGCAACGTGAACGCTTATTGATTCTCAAAGTGAGTGCCGCCGTATTCCCCATCATTTATTTGAACATTGTTTTTTTGGTGCTACTAAATAAATGACTAGCGCTCTGTTCGCGTTTTATGTGTGGTGTGGTGGGACAATTGTAACATTTTCCCGAATGCGAAAAATCGCAATAGTTTTTTGTTTTCCTCTCTCTATTTGTTTGACTCTGTTTTGTCGCACTCTTCTTATAGTTGTTGATTTGAGCCATGTTCGTGCCAGCTGGTGCCGCCGTTGACTTTTTCCAGCTGTGGAGTTTTTTCCTCTTTCTTTATCTATTTCCCCGCACACCTCATTCCATTTTTAGTTTGTGGCTTTAAGTTGAGCAAGTGTTGCGTCCAGAAAGAGAGCGGAACAAGTGTTTCCGGATTTCCTTGAGAAAGCAGCTGTCACAGGACAAAATCTTGGGCACAAGTGCATCTTCCACTCAACGAAGCATCATCCTCTCATCCTTTTCCGCCTGTAATCGGAAACCCACTTTGGAGTAGATGGAAATATGTAGTAGCAGCTGCTTCCTCCTACCCATTCTGTACCCTTACCCAATCCCCTGCATTGCATCACGCTGCACATGGTGCTTCCCTATGTAATTTGATATATTTCGTGTCCATTTCCATTTCCCCCGTATAATCCATCTTGGCCTCTGTTTAACATTGTGTAGAGCTCCCTCTAAAAGCTATGTGCTGTGTTCAGCTATCTCCCTCACGCTCTAACGGTTCGCGTTTCACGTTTGCACTTTGCATATTTTGGCCAAAAACAACAAAACGGCTCTAGAAATTAATTTTGCCTCGTTTTTTCGTCGCTTGGAATGGGTCGCCTTGGCACAGTTATGCGGCTTTGCTCATGCTTTTTCATCATATTTCTTTCTTTTTGTCTTGACTAATTGCTTTCTGACAAGACTTGGACTATAGCTATGTACATTTGGTTAGATCTTTTAACTCTTGGCGAGACACCCAAGGATCAAGTTAAAGAGCCCCTTGATCACTCGCAACACCTTCGGAAAATACTAAGTCTATGTTCCGAGAGTGTTTTTTCGTAAATCGGCAATTAATAAATTACACAGACTGAGAAGGCAAAACAAAATTCATGATGTGCGAGTCTCCCACATATGTAAGGGTTGTTAACTGTAATTTCTGGACTGAACCTTGTACCTATTGCGCTTTTCCATGCAAAAAGCAGTCCACCAAGCAGGCTTAATGTAAAACTACAACGCATGCCAGCTTTTGACTCGTATTGATTTGCAGTGATACACGTTGTGTGCCAGAAATCCCCTTTCCAATAAAATTACCAAATACACTCGTGCATACTAAATTAAATTAAAACGAGAAGGGACGTGTGAGACGCTTCTTTTCTCTTTTCTCTTCTCACAACTTTTATACCCGGCACTCAGTACTACATCTGCACCTTAGCGGTGTTTTGTCAAATTTTACATTTTTTCTTCATCTGTCATCTACATCTACAACACTTTTCACACCAACACGCTCCTTAAGCTCGCCTCCCTTACCTGGACCAACACTCTGCAGACTCGCGGCAGAGGCAGTGGCCGCACACAGCAAAAGCAGAGTCTGATTGAGAGAATGTGAAAAAAACAAATAAAAGCTGCGGGGTGGGTGGGTTTAGCCACTGCATATTAATTTCTTCATTCTGGCTATAATAATGGTCCAATCAGATCCCAATTCGGTGATCTGATAGATATGGTCATTCCTTATGGAATGGCGTTTTCTTTTATCTTCAAAATTATAGGTTTGGGAGGTTTTCGCCATTTTGCGAGAGCGGGGCTCATTTTAAATACACTTGTAACAGTGTGAGCATACAGAAGTCTGGATGCAAAATTTGGTGGCTCTAGCTTTTATGGTCTCTGAGATCCAGGCGTTCAAAAAGACGGACAGACGGACGGACAGACAGACATGGCTCAATCGACTCGGCTATTGATGCTGATCAAGAATATATATACTTTATGGGGTCGGAAACGTTTCCTTCTGTGCGTTACATACATTCACTTTGTGCACAAATACAATATACCATATTTACTCGTCGAGTACCGGGTATAAAAACAATTTAACATTAAAATCTGGTTACAAAAGCGCATTAAATACAAAAATAATGGCAATAAAACTGAAATTAATGATTTGAACTTCAAATCAATGCGATTCAAGGTAAACAAGTCGAAAAAAAGATTTGTATTTTTTATGCTTTTGTTTATACACGACGAGAACGAACTCGTGCCAAAGCCAAAGAGAATCAACGAGGAAAGAAGCAGACAGATAGCCAGAATAGCCAGAAATGCCAGAGTCAAGGAATGGTAATCGTGTCAGCAGATTTGTATTTAGAAGAAGAAGCTTCTAAGAGCTGTGCCAACTGGCGGGGGCGCCGACTAAAAGAGAGATGCAGCCATAGAAAGTGCAAGAGCAATGGTTGAAGCTGATTGAAGAGAAGAGAAAGATGACGTCTTCTATCCAATACACAGTAATTGGTTTGGACAACCTGAAAGCTCGTTGATTGACTAACTGACTGACTGACTTAGAGACTGACATGGAAATAAAAATGAATTCAAATGCGATTTCATCAATGTGGGTCAGCAGCAGCTCAGGTTCCCCTCTGGATCCACATGAGGCAGTTCAATGCACCGAGAGGAAGCCCTCAAACACCAACTAGAGAATACCCTATCAAAAATAAATTAGACAGCGATAGTCAGCATTTTGGATCGATATAAATAAGTTGTGTCAGAATTTTATATTTGGTGGAGTTGAAATAACTTCATTTGTTATCTGAAAAGCATCTTCGATTCAGGAGGATCGACTTGTGCCCTTGCATACAGGGTATTATTTTGTGTATTCATTCGTTTATTCCTTCAATCTAGTCTTTTCTTGCTTTATAATTTTGTACAATTTTGAGTGCGGGCCATATTTGGGAGTGAGCGCCCAACGCGCGCGGTACTGCCGCAAGGCATTGCGGCATTCTATACAGGGTATAGAAAGGTGTGTGCGTGTGTTTGGTTCTATCTCGTGTAGTTAGGGGGGAAATGCTCTTGGGGAATTAATCTATTGCCGTGTTCTGTTTGGTTGGGCTCTACCTTAGTGAAAAGACCGCATACGAAAGATGGCCTAAGTAAATAATTGCGGTAAATGTAGCACGAAAAGAACTCACAAAAGTGATGAAAAGGGAGTGGTAGGAGGGACTGCCACAACTTTAAACAGGTGTCGTCGCTTTTTGTGACAGTCGCCCGCCGTCTGGAGAAAAGTGTGTTCATGTGTTGCTTGGGCATGCATGTGTTTTCATCTCTTGTTGCTACCCTGCAATACGGGTCATCGATGTGTAAGTGGCAGCACATCTAAACCGGTTAATTTTGTTGCAAAAATGCTTTCTGAAGATCAATCGTGCTTCAAATTTGCTTCAAAAACGAAGACAAAACGAGGAGGGACGTGTGAGACGCTCAGTAGTACATCTATCTGTACCAAATATTTTTTTTCAAATCTTACATTTTACATTTTTTCCAATAAGAGAATGTGCAAACAATTTTTGAAATTGGCAGGCAAAGTTTGTTGGCTCTAGGTTTTATAGTCTCTGAGAACTAGCCGACAAACAAGACGGACGGACAGACGGACGGACAGACGGATGGACAGACGGACATACATATGATCAAGAATACATATACATACTTTATGGGGTCGGAATATTTTACCCAAAATAGCAGCGACTCATTCTTCAGTGCACAATTGTAATTACGCCGCCGGCGCCGACGCCAAACCCGAATTGTGTTACGCACCGTGAGGAAACTGAAAAAAAGTAAGAAAAACGAGTAGGAACCACTTTTATACCAGGTATTCATTCAATATATATTTACATTCATATGTATGTATGTACATTTTGGAACAAACTTGATTCAGTGTGAAATCACATGAGTCTTCACACATAATTTGGTGACTCTAGCTCTTAAAATCTCTGAGAACGAGGCGTCAAACAAGACCGACAGACGGACAGAAATACAGACCGATATAGACTCGGCTATTGATGCTAATCAAGAATATATATTCTTTGATATGCACATCCTCTTTCGCACACAAAATCGAGATGGATCTTATACCCATAACTAACTAAAATCATCAATGATTCCAATATCTTGAATTAAATCACTTCCTCTTACCCCACAGACTATGTCTTGCCAGGTCCGTGCGTCTTTCCTCCTTGACCTGCCTTGCAGTTGATGGCGGATGGCCCAGACATGTCTGTCTGTCTAGTATTCTACCAATTGGTGTTCCTCTCTGCATTTCCCCACTCTCGACAGTTTCTGGAGGAGCAACAGCACGCCCGCCTCATTATTCATTGACGCATTCCCAAAAACCTGACATGGAACTTTCTGATCACAGCCAGTTGTCCGTCCTTGGAGAATGTTAAGCCTGCAGGGTAGAGCACAAATTAGCGGGAACTGAAACTGAAAATGAAACATTTCCCAGATCAGAAAATACGGAGAAGGCGAAGGGGCTTCTCCCTCCTTGGGAGGTGCAGACAGTTCCGGGAGTAAAAATATAAATATAAAACAAAAATATATGTCAACAGAGGCGTAAACGAGATTTGTATTTTTGTTTCGAGTAACTAATTGAATTTAAAGTACTAGTATTCACATGCCGTTCCCCCTCTCCACCCTATTTTTGCGATTTAAGTCTTGTAACAGAATATTCTCTTTCTCTTCTTGTTGTATCTTTTCTCCAGTCTTTTATTTGTAT